CCCCCCCCTAAAAAAACCAAAACTGATTCGATTTCGATTTACGGCAAATGTTTCTTTGAAAGTGTTTTTTAGTATTTGAAAAGAAACAAATAAACAGCGACCACTTTCTGTAATTGGAAAATACACTTCCCTAAAAACACAAAAATATCGCTAGGACGAGCTAGCAGCGACTCAATAAAAGATTTTAAAAAAAGGACCCAGATTAATCTCCTGCCACCCCGTTGTTTACCATACACAGCTGTAGCACAATTGGACAGGCGGCAACGTTTTATCATGGGAAAAGAATAAAAACAGTCATCAATATAATAAAGAGAGGCTGAAAAATAATACTGGAAATATCTATAAAATGTAAGCAAATATGCATGTGTCTATGTGTGTGTGTGTGTGTGTGTGTGTGTGTGTGTGTGTGTGTGTGTGTGTGTGTGTGTGTGTGTGTGTGTGTTTATATATTATACATAGCCTTTGAAAGCGGACACAATAAGTTAAAATAATAGCGACAGTATCGAATCACAAGTTGCGTTTATGGCAATTATTTCTGTTTGGCTTGTCTAGGGCAAGTAGAACCATATTCGTCACGCGGTGTTGACAAGCATGCATTGATATAATAATAGTTATTATCATCTGTAGGCAAAGAGCATGCTAGAGAATTTTCATACATTCGCTTTGGACCTGTTTGTTGACAACATAGAATCCGTTCGTGGAGGATTTGGGTATCCAGTAGACGCGAAGTGAGGAAATGTTCTCTAACACGCTGGCTATGATGCCACAGAGCACAGTGGCAATCACTAAAAGGCAACATTTAATCAAGCCGTGCTGCTTGATAGAAAATGTTTGCAAGGTACCCAGAACAAACAGGTAAATGATGATACCAACAACGAACGTGTATATATGATACATCACTGGTGAAGGAGGCATGGGCCAAATCATGCTGATCGGAAACAGAAGCATATTGAAAGGCATGGTGCAGCCCGCGAGACTCATGAGAACGGGGCCGACCTTATATCGCAACGGAATCTTTTTACTGAGAGCTGTCAGTAGAATGCCGTGCATCCAGCGGTGGCGTTGGTGAATGAAGTCGTACAGAGTAAACGTGCTCTTTTCCAGCATCTCTCCCTCCACAATGCCAAAACTGTAGCCTTTACTGAAGGCCTTGCAGGCGAAGAAGCAGTCTTCTGCGATGGATGCTTCGGGACCGTGGTCAAACGAGATGTCTTTTTCAGCCTCGGCGTCGGCCACGATGAAAGAACCCTTCCAGCTGAAGATAGGCTTGTGAAGCACTCCGAGGCTGAAACGTAAGCAGCCATAGTCGATACCCACTCTGACGGAGTCTGCAAGCGTGGTGATCCAGTTGACTACTTGACCGTGGCCGTACGTGATGACACCCTGTCCGAAGGAGTAATCTGCTGCCCCGGCAAAGTTTATAATGCCAATGACAGACTCCTCAGTGAGAAGTGTTTCTTCGTCCAGATGTACGATCCAGTCGCCCGCCTGGAGATTGTCCACCTCGGGTTCGAGAGCGTATTGCAGTGCCCGAGCTTTGAACAAGGAACCTGATGACGTTTTATACTCCGTGGGAACTACAACTTCTCGACTCTGCGCCTGTTTTTCCAAATTTATCGGGATGTCTGTCACGACCTCAAACACGTACTTCTGCAGACCAATATTGTTACAGATCTTGATGTTGTGCCGAACATTTTCGTTGACCAGGTCCGGGTACAGTCCTCGAGTGACCACCCTGAAACACAGGAAAGGACTCAAGGAAGGGCAGCTTTTCAGTTTGGGCTTTGTCGTGAAGACATTGAGGAGGACAACTCCTAGGAAGTTGAAGATGAAAAACGGCAAGGGCACAAACACTAAGCACTGAAGAAAATAGATGAAAAGGGTGACCAGCAGACCATAACGCTCTATCGCGTTGAAGTCGTTTCCTGTGACCCCGCCTCGGATGATCCCGACGAGCCTGATCAACCCGAAGAGAGCAATTACGGACATGGCATGCTTTAGACGTCGGACAGCAGGCGCCGACACTATAGTCATTGCCAGTTGCACCAGGCAGTACTGCCAGTTCGCGCCCTGTACTCGTGAGATACAGCCGACGAGCAGGTGGCGAGTGCGGGAAAACGCAAATACCAACCAGTGTAGCAAGAAGAAGTTTTGAAGCTGCCGTGGCCAGCAGACGAGGACTGGTCGTTTGCTGATGAGTTGCATCAATGACGTGGTCACAGATACGGCCGCTTGAGACAGTGACCGCCACAGGATCCCTATCGGGTCGCGACGCAGGTAATTATTGAGTCTCAAGCCGCAGTTGTCAAGGAAACGACGCCACTGGCGATGGATTCTTTCTGAATGCCAGAGCAGAAAGAAAATAGCAATGAGCAGGACCTGTCGGATGGGCCTTTCCTCGCTGGGAGAAGAATCTGGGTTTCGCCCCAAGAGTTCGCCGAATTTAGTCATGAGGAAATTTCTCCTGATCAGCACCACATTCCCTGGAAGAGTTCGTTATCTGCCAACGGTCTGTAAGATGTTCAGTGACAGGTTCTCTCTTCTGATAATTAGCTGTTCCTTGCTAAACTCCTTGCATCCATATATATCTGGAGAAGGTAAGAAAATATTATATAAATAAACATTGAGCTACACTCAGCGATAGGTGAATAAGCAGAAAGTTGAGCTACAAAGCAGAGGGATAGATAAATAGAGAGGGGTAATTGTAAAAAGACACACACCGACACTTGTACAGCTGACACAGGGATGGATAGATAGATAGATAGATAGATAGATAGATAGATAGATAGATAGATAGATAGAT